CGACACTGAGGGTTGCGATCCGTTGCCGGTCACGAAAAAAGACAAAAAGGAAAAAAAAAAAAAAAAAACCACAAAGAGTTTGAAACACCTGACAAGGTTGCTTACGACAAGTCTGTGGAGAAAACAGAGAAATGTGTTAGATATCCACAGTCAGATGGCTCCTAACATGGCTTAGCAATATCACTGAGGGGACAGCAATGAGTTAAATAATGTCAATGGGAGGGGACATTCTAGGTGTAAGCCATGGAACTCTTACCTGGATCTTCTCCAATTCAATATGAGAACCAATAACTTGAATGATGGCACAAGAATCAAACATCAGGATGGCCAGATGCTTGGAAGGATATGAATACTAGAAGTCAGGGTGAGTATTAAAAAGATCCCGACAGCCAGAATGATGGACTAAAAGATAAAAGCCTGTCCCTGTACTCCCCAAAACTAATGAAGGATGGGAGAGGATAAACTAATAGTAGCATACATAAAAAAGGTTTGGAGGTTTTAGTTAACTTTAAACTCAAAATGAGTAAAAGTGTGACAAGGCTGCTAAAAAACAAAACAAAACAAAACAAAAAGTGCAACCCCCCAACCCACACCAAAAAGAAAATAAAAAGTTCAACCTAAGTCAACATTATTAGGAAGAGGATCCAGAAGAAAAAAAGTGAGGGAGAGATTGTTCTAAATCAGGCCCTAAGTAGAATATATTGTACTACTCTGCATTTCACATTTCATAAAAGGGTTTAACAAACCGGAACAAAGTCAAAAAAGGAAAAAAAAAAAAAAAAAGTGAGGAACCTGGAAACCACAACACGTGAGAGAACCAAGAGTACTTTGCCCAGGGAAGGTAAAAGTTGGGAGTATAGAGAGCCATTAAAGATGTCTTCAACTACTAAAAGTCCATCCCTTTTAACTCTGAGGTGTCTTGCGTATATTAAAGAAAATACGTAAAAAGTTCCAAGAGTGCCTTAATGTTTGAAGCTTTGGAAATTATTAAGGGGCTAAAAGAAGAAACCGAAATAGAACCCATATATTCCTGCTCTCAGAGAGCTTAAAATCTATGTGGAAAAGGTCCCACTGCAAAAATAAACAAATTTTTTTTAAAAAAGAAAGATACAACAATCCAATAATACATTGAACTTTCAAAAGGAGATAACAGAACTTAGGTTACCAGAGATGGGAAAGCGGGAGGGAAGGTAAGGGAGAAACTGAAAAAGGGCGACAAAAAACCGATTACACTGCGTAATACTGAATGTACTATTTATCCTGATTTGAGCATCACATATTGGACACAGGTACTGATATGAAACTATGTACCCCACAGATATATACAATCAATTATGTTTCCAAAAAAAACGTTCCTATTGCATCTACTTCTGGATCCAACAACAGCAGAAATTCAGTGCTGTGCTTCTGTGACACTGTAGGGACTATTTAGAGGATGAACAAACAATATACATAAAACAGCCATAATACAACTGTAGAGCAGTACATGAATAGATTTAAGATAAAGTATACATGCTAAAAGATCAAAAAGGGAAAGAACCAAAGGACAGGAACAGATGAGGAGGATATTTCTGAAGGAAGTGAATCCTGAGCTTGTGATAAACACAATTGACTCTCTAGGAGAGGCAGAAAGATGACACCCCTGCGAGGATGCTGCACTAAACTTCAGATGGTGAAGGAGATGTCCTAAAGGCAAGCACATAAGAGCTGGAAACATGCTGATCAAGAGAAAAAGAAAGATTTCATATTCAAGAAGACATAAATTTGAAATCCAGCTCTGCCACTTACTAACTGCATGATCTTGTGAAAATTGTTTCACTTCTTTAAATATACATCTTCTCATCTATAAAAATTATGTACAGGCATACCTTGGAGATATTGTGGGTCAAATACTGCATTAAAGCAAGTCACAATTAGGTTGCTTCCACATCTTAGCTACTGTAAATAGACCTGCAATAAACATGGGAATGCAGGTATCCCTTCAACATGATGATTTCCATTTCTTTGTGTATATACCCAGTAGTGGGATTGCTGGATCATATGGCAGTCCTATCTGTAGTAGTTTGAGAAATCTCCGTATCATTTTCCCTAATGGCTGCACTAATATACTGTCCCTCCAACAGTGCAGAAGGGTTCCCCTTTCTCCACATCCTCACCAGCATTTGTTATTCTCTGTCCTTTTGATAACAGCCAGTATAATGGGGTAAAATGATATCTCAATGTGGTTCTGATTTGCATTTCCCTGATGCTTAGTGATGTTGAGCATTTTTTCATGTACCTGTTGGCCATTTGTATGTCTTTCTTTGAGGAATATCTATTCAGTTTACTTGCCCATTTTTAATCAGATTATTTGTTTTTTCACTGTTACGTTGTTTGATTTCCTTGTCAAATGTATAGTTTGCCAACATTTTCTCCCATTCTGTAAGTTGTCTTTTCACTCTGTTGATTGTTTCCTTTGGTGTGCAGAAGCTTTTTAGTTTGATATAATCCCATTTGTTTATTTCTTTCTTTTGCTGCCTGTGCTTTTAAGTCTTTTTTAAAAATCTTTACCCAGTCCCACACCCTGAAGTGTTTCCTGTATGTTTTCTTCTAGGATTTTTTATAGTTTCAGGTCTTATCTATAAGTCTTTAATACATTTTGATATAACATATCTTGAAGGTTGAAATTACTCCTTGATCCATAGGCTGCAGAACACATATTGTATTAGCAGGCATGAAAATAACATGAATCTACTTGTACATCTCCATCAGAGCTCTTGGGTAACTACATATATTGTCAATGTGTTTATTATTTT